TTCCACCTAATTTGGCTTTCAAGTGCTAAAGAAACCAAGAGCTAGAATCCCTTCAGCATAGGCCATAATTAATTCCCCAAATCCTGTCCCAGATCCTGTCTGGGGCTAAACAAACCCCCTTCTGCCGGGGCCAGGGGACTCTCATAGAATCAGAGAATCAACCTGGTTGGAGGAGACCTCAAAGACCATCAAATCCAGCCCTACCATGGTCACCAGCCCATGGCACTAAGTGCCACATCCAGTCTCAGCTTGAAAACCTCCAGGGATGGGGAATCCACCACCTCCCTGGGCAGCACATTCCAATGCCTGAGCACTCTCTCTGTAAAAAATCTCTTCCTAATATCCAACCTAACCCTCCCCTGGCAGAGCTTGAGTCTGTGCCCTCTTGTCCTGCTGCTGGTTGCCTGGGAGAAGAGTCCGACCCCCGCGTGACAACAGGTTGCAAAGCTCAGATTTTCCTGCAGAGATTGTACCTTTAATAGCAAAAAAGTTCTCCAAGCCATGCACCATATGCCTTATTTGCTGCCCTGCTCTCCATGGGGTTTGGTTTGGGGAGGGGATTTTGTACAGTCTTTTCAATCAAGATTTAGGATTGAATCCCTTCTCTGAAACTCCAGCAAACTCCCACAAGAGTTTGCTGGAGTTAAGAGATGGCTTAAAAACCACAGCAGTGTGGGACCTCTTGTTTTCTCAACTGACACTCTTGAAGCTACTTTTCCAACACCAAGACTTGAAACACCCATGGAAATACCATTTCTTTATTAAGAAAAATAAATAATGCTACACATGGAGACATTTTACTCATTAATGCTGTTTCATTCAGATCTAGTATTGTCATGTGGATGAGAAACTCACCATGAGCTGCAGTGTGAGCTCAGCCCAGAAAGCCAATCAAACCCTGGGCTGCATCCAAAGGAGTGTGGGCAGCAGGTCAAGGGAGGTGATTCTTCCCCTCTGCTCTGCTCTGGTGAGACCCATCTGGAATCCTGCACACAGTTCTGGTGTCCTCAACATCAGAAGGACATGGAACTGTTGGAGCAAGTCCAGAGGAGGCCATGAAGTTGCTAAGAGCACTGGAGCATCTCCCCTGTGAGGACAGGCTGAGGGAGTTGGGGCTGTTCAGCCTGGAGAAGAGAAGGTTGTGTGGAGACCTCAGAGCAACTTTCCAATTTCTGAAGGGGCTACAAGGAGCCAGAGAGGGACTCTGTGTTAGGAACTGCAGTGACAGGACAAGGGGTAACAGGTTCAAACTGAAGGAGGGAAAGTCTAGGCTGGATGTGAGGAAAAAGCTTTTTACTCTAAGGGTGGTGAGACACTGTCCCAGGGTGCCCAGGGAGGCTGTGGCTGCCCCAACCCTGGCAGTGTTCACAGCCAGGTTGGATGAGCCTTGAGCAACCTGCTCTGGTGGGAGGTGTCCCTGCCCAGGGCAGGGGTTGGGACTAGATGATATATAATGTCCATTCCAATCCTTAAATTCTATGATTCTATGATTTACAGGATGCTTTGAGATATCTTCAGCTTTACAGGACTGAGATGGTGGCCAAGTGCCTCAACCCTCTCATTGTCTGTGTGGGGTCCTCAGTGCTGTTCTGGAAAGAGTTCACATATACATTGCAAGATTTCTCTGGAGCTAGATAGTCAGGGAACATATATTTAATCCTCAAACTCCTTTCCAGCTTTTTTCTTTTGTGCTTGAACTCCAGAATAGTTTTGGTGTATTTGTTGAGGGTGGTGACAGCTGCAGCCATACAGCAAGCGAAGGAAGTCCAGGCCAGGCTGTAAACAAAAAGGTTTAGCAGAAATTAGCAGGAAATTTTCATATCCAAGTTCTTCAATTTTAGTTTTGAAAACACTCTGTGTGTGTGATTGTATTGGTGTGTGTCAGGGAAAGACAAACAGTGGTGAGCAAGAAAAATTCTTGGTTAACAACCATCATAACTTACATAGTTGACCTCTTTATTATAATAGTCACATTTAACATTGCTGTTTATTGAAATTTTATCTCCAGTTTCACTGTTTACTCTGCTTAGAGCTTTAGTAACAGAAAAGGGAATGATGAAAAAAGAGGATGCATCAAAATGAGAAGGTGCAGTTCTTAAGGCTCCAAATCTCCCAGAGGACACTGAGGAAAATGTGTGTCAGTTATCCAGAAGTGTTCAAAAGAACAGAGAAGACACAATGAAATAGCTCAATAAAGCAGGTTCAGAGCACTGAAATACATTTCTGAGAACAGATCATGGCTAAGCAGAGAGAAAAGGATATCAGCTCTGGAATGTTAAAAGTCAAACCCTCAGAAGACAGAACTAAAAAACTGACATTGAGGTACAATATGCTAAATATATGTGAAATTCCACATGACTGAGTGGGCATGTGAAAATATGTCCATGAGTTGGAGTTCACAGTGGAGGATTTTGCTCATCAGAGGTTTTCTTAACAGGACAAGGACATGATTACCTAATGAAATGTATTTTGGTGGAGGATCAGTTTAAGGGACTCCTGTTTGCCTCTGCTCTCCCTCAGAGCTCTCTGTCCTTGATGTGGCTCAACAAACTCATTTATGTTTTTAAATAAATCCTTCCCCCCACAGTATTTTTGGCCAGGATTTCTAGGGTGATGAGAAATCAGCTGTGCTGACAGAGTTTGAGGATGGGGGAGTATGGCAGGGACAGGGGAAAGGCTCCCAGAAGCAAGAGGAAAGGAAGCAGCTGAAGCTGGTTTTGCTCCTAACATCAGTCAAACTACATCCTGAGTAACTCTCGAGTGGGATGAGCTGCAGGAGAGCTCCTAGAACAGAGAGAGAGGAAGACTAGGAGAAAATCACCAGGAGCAGATAGATTTACTCCCCATGCAAGCCAAGCCAGAATGGCAAAGCAGATCTACCCATGGAGGTGTGTGATTGTGCACTGAGCCAACCGTGGCAGAGAGGAGCTGAAGATTCAGGCTCTGGCATGAGATAAAGGCAGGGCTGACTCATGGAGCAGCATTTTTGGCTGAATAACTGAGGCACAGTCACATTAGGAGACAAACTGAGAGAAGCACAGCTTTGGTTGAAGGTGCTTTTCTCTTTCTCTGTCACAGCTGGGGAAATAACAACAGTTTCCAGCACCAAACACTCAAATCCCTCTTATTGATCAGCTTTTATGGGTTTTCAGACACACTTTTCCCGCAAAATTCATCTCAACAGCCTATTCTTTCTGAATAGATTCCCTAGATCTCCTCAGGTATTTGCAGGGCCAAAATAATGTGGGTTTTACCTAAGGCAAAATTTTGAACTGTGTTGTCTGAACTGTTGCAGATGCAGCAACCTGAAGCCTATCTGTGATAGGAAAACATCAGCCTAAATGGCTTAAGATGGAAAAGTCCTAAACAACTTATGCCAGGTACTTCTCCTGGGAGAGGAGGACACTAAATCTGGGTCTGAGGTGTGTGGAGAAGAACCACCAGGCAGGGCAGTTGGAGGTCTCTGTGGATAGCAAATGCAAAACTCACCAACTGGTTTATTCTGTGCAACAATCTAAGACAACTCATTTTGGAGAACAACTGGTTACTGAACTGCATCCTCAGGGGAGAAATAAGGGAAAGCCAGTGCTTGTAAATGAGGTATACATTCCTGGACCATAGGGTGAAGTGACTGAAGTACAACCTGATCTAGTGAGGAGGTGTCTCTGCCCAGGGCAGGGGGTTGAGACTAGATCATTAGTAAGGTCCATTCCAACCTTTAATTTCTATGATTCTGTGGTTCTATGAAGTACCAAATATAAACCAGTAAGTACCAGTAGGACCAGCCATAATCCCATGTGTGAGGTCTCCAGTCTTCAGGTCCAAGGTTGACAGTCATTTGAAATACAGTTGTGTACATCATGTGAGCCACCATGCCCAGAAGACCTAAAAAATAGCATAATAATAATTAGAAAATGTAAACTGAGGACATTCTTATTACCAGTTTTTTCCCTGTTGTCCCTTGAGCTCCTGAAGAATATTTTAATAAGGATTTGGATTGTATAAATCACTCAAAAAATCCTGGACATTAAATGTATTTGCCAATGCACTCCCTCATATACCCCTTAACACACACTCTGCCAGAGGAGCTGGGGGAGCAGTGGGACATGCAGCTCATGGATTTTCAAAGACAACAAGCTGCTTTGTTCTCACCCTCTGAAAATATCTTAGTGATAGAATTCTGAGGAGGGATCAGCTATTGCAGAAAAGTATTGCTAAGTTGCATCACACAGGACACACTTCCCACAGTTTCCTGTCACAGAACCACAGTCACATTGGGTCCTCCAGTCCAACCTCCTGCAGTGGAAAGGTTTTTCAAAGCTATGCAGCCTGTCTTTGTAAGGGACATAATATTTCTTTCCACAGCATTTTGCTGTTAGTGTCTCCACAGGTATTATAATAGTCTTGGAACTTGAACACTGTTCTTCATTCTCAGATGGAAGGTAATTTTGGATGTAACAGACACCACCAGGAGTCCTGCACACAGCTCTGGTGCTCTCAACATCACAAGGACATGGAGCTATTAGAGCAAGGTCAGAGGAGGCCACAAAGCTACTCAGAGCACTGAGCACCTTCCCTACGAGGACAGGCTGAGAGAGTTGGGGCTGTTCAGCCTGGAGAGGAGAAGGTTTTGTGGAGACCTCAGAGCAACTGCCAGGAGCTGAAGGGGCTCCAGGGAAGCTGCAGAGGGACACTGCGTTAGGAACTGCAGGGACAGGACAATGGGAGAAATGGAAAGAGAAACTGAGATGAGATATTAGGAGGAAGTTTTCCCTGTGAGGGTGGTGAGACACTGTCCCAGGTTGCCCAGGGAGGCTGTGGCTGCCCCAGCCCTGGCAGTGTTCACAGCCAGGTTGGATGAGCCTTGAGCAACCTGCTCTGGTGGGAGGTGTCCCTGCCCAGGGCAGGGGTTGGGGCTGGATCATCTCTAAACTCCATCCCAACCCCTTAACATACCATGATAATAAACTGAGATACTTAACTGTACCTGCTAAGACAGTGACCACTGCAGAGAAGGCATTGATCTTTAGCCCATCAATGACAGAGCTGAAGTAGCACATTTCTACTGTCATGAGAATGTTTCCTATCAGCAGCAAAGTGACGTAGAGAAGCTCTGCTACAATGGACAGCCATAAAACCCCTGGTGATCAGAGACAAAGCATCGATAGTCTCAGCAGTCATTTAGCATTTTCACCATTTCCTTCTTCATTTAGATTGTTTATACGATGTTAAGCAGAAGCTGAAATGCTCTGAGGATGCTGTGATATGTCAAGGGATGTTATATATCTTATTATGGTATAAATTGAAAGAGGGAAATTTAGATTAGATCTCAGGCAGAGGTTTTCCCTGTGAGGGTGGTGAGACACTGTCCCAGGTTGCCCAGGGAGGCTGTGGCTGCCCCAACCCTGGCAGTGTTCACAGCCAGGTTGGATGAGCCTTGAGCAACCTGCTCTGGTGGGAGGTGTCCCTGCCCAGGGCAGGGGTTGGGGCTAGATCATCTCTAAGCTCCATTCCAACCCCTTAATATTCAATTATGCCCATTATAATTCCTTCCACTGACTTAGCCATTTAGTGGAAGAGCAGTTGCAAGTTCCTGCTCTGCACTTACAGGACGAAGTGGGGCAGTATAGATTTATACTCAGTAGCTTCCTTAAAATCCCCATGAACCAAAGCTCATAGAAAAAGAAGAATTACTATGCAATTATTGAGCTGTTGCTGTGATGGTTCTGGGGCCAAGGAGCAGCAGAGCATGTTACCCAGTGAACAAACACAGCCACAGCCACACTGCCCATGGGGCTAGTCATTAAATTTCTCCGTGGGCTTAACGTTTTACCAAACAGGATCTTGATATTTTGGGCAGAGAAGCCTTCCTAAGCCCAGACAGTCTGCAGGTTTCACTGAGATTCCCTTCTCTGGTTATCTGCTAATTCATCTCTTGTCTGGATATCTGGTAATCACATCTTATGCAAGAAGTTAATCCATTAAAGTCTCTCAGCCTACCTCGATCAGAAGATGGAGTCAGACTGATAAAGCTTCTACATTTCTCACCTGAAAAAAATAAGATGATTTTATCTTCTGTAATGAGCCAAAAAATAGATTAAGTGAAAGAAGAAAATGCAAAATCCTGAATAAAAGCAGAAACGGAGATGATCTGGAGAAGCTGTTTTTGATGTCTGTTTGTACAGTCCCTGTTACATCAGCCTCGGGCTTAGCTAGAGAATCCTTACAGACTCTTTCAAGGCAGAACCAGAGCCTGGAGGACTTAGAGAGAGGCAAGTGATTGCTGAAAGGTTCTAGGCGTGGAAACCAGCCCAGGGAAATGCTGAATTCCCTCCCTGTGAGGGGTGAGCTGCTCAAGGCTGCTGCTCACACGGCTTCCTCCTAAGCTTCATTCCAATTTCTTTCTGTAAGCTTTGATTTTCAAACCCGTGTGACCTCCTGAGCCCCACACAGATGCTGTGAACAAAGCTCTTGGAATTAATTCTGCTCTGCTCTGCAAATACTGGGTGGGTTTTTTTTCCAGCTCCTAACTGTGACACGTTGGAATACATGAACTGCCATAGCAGATGCACAAATTACACAACCTCTATATCCACAGCAATCACCACCTGAAAGACACCTCTTGGGCACAGAGTTTGCTCTGATCTTTGACTTTTAGCCCCTTAAAACTGCAGCACTTACAAGACCTTCTGACAGAACTGGAGCTGCAGGGCAAGGGACTGTGAGAACACTTGCATTTTAGAGTGATAACTGATTTGTTTTCTCTGGAGTTCTGTTCTAGTTGTCATTTCTAAAGGGATCAGGACAATAAGGGGGAAAACTTAGTGTTGGATTTTTGAATTCTTGACCCAGCAATTCCCTTCCACAAAGATCTGAAACAGAAACTTTCTGTCGTGGCAAACTCGTTTCATTCTCTGACATTTACACACACAGAGTGAGACTCAGTTCAATGCCACCACTCATGACTCCAGATCAGGGTGCAAATAATCTTCTGCTTTGATTTCTGAAGGGAGAGATTGCAGTAAGGACACAGAAACACTTGTGCTCAAGAGGAAATTCAGGAACTAACTTAGAACCCACAGATTGTACAGCTCCCAAGATATTTAAGGCAAAAAAAAAGTCACATAGTGCTTTTTATGTTGCCTTAGGGGATCAGAGATGATCATTTAAGGCAAGTGTGTTCATTTTTGCCTAAAGGATTGAAAAACCAGCAGAAAAATAAAACACTTTCCTGTTTGAGTAATTTAATTTACTGTTCTGGTTAGAAGAATAAAGAAATGTTCTGTAGCACAACCAAACCCACAGCTTGTCCCTCTAACGTCCTCTGCAGAATCTATTGGGAAATGACTAGATTGTGCCTACTAAGGTCAGAGAAAAGCCAGAGAAAAGAAACTCTTTAAGGATACATCCACACTAAAACGCATCAGTGAGAGCGAAGGGACACCAAAGAAGAAGGAAGGACTCTACTTCCTTGAGCAAATGGAGCTGGTTTTACTCACCATCTTCATTGATCAGCTCTTCACAGGAGTACCAAATCCCAGCATGGAACTTTGTCTCCACGAACTTGTCATCTCCTGTCTCCCAGATGTACTGCACAGCTTGGCTGTTGTTGCCCTCGGGGCTGTTGAAACGGATGCAGAGATTCCCTTTGCTGTCTCCTTTACAGAAAGGTTTGGCCACTTTTCTTGTCCCTGCACACCAGTAACTGCTACTGAATGCTGTAATAGAGAAGACTAAAGAGAGAAAGCTGAGAGAAAATGCTGCTGAGGCTCTGTGCCGTCGGTCTGGGTCTGGCTCTGAGCTTGGCATCATCCAGGTCTTCCCTAGCAGTTAGTCTGGGAAGAACCTTTTCCAAAGTTAAGCATCTATCTGCCTGGTGAAACACCTGCTTGTGTTTCCCATCCCATTCTTCAGTCCTCTCAGCAAATTGTGCCAGCTTAGGAGTTAAGACAGAGAGCAGAGAGATGGGCATGACCAGCAATCATGTGGCAGGGGAGATTAAGGATATAGGACAGTGTTGTTTGGCAGTAATGTCTTGTGAAAGGAACAGGAGGAAGGGGGACAATAAATTATGATTTGACTCATGAATCACAGGGGTAAAAACACACAGAACACAGATAATTGGAAGGACACCATTATGCCAACAGAAACACCTGTTTACCTTGCTCAGCAGGAGGAGTCATAGAATCACAGAATCAACCAGGTTGGAAGAGACCTCAAAGGTCATCAAGTCCAAGCCCACCGTGGTCACTAGACCATGGCACTAAGTGCCACATCCAGTCTCAGCTTGAAAACCTTCAGGGATGGTGAATCCACCACCTCCCTGGGCAGCACATTCCAATGCCTGAGCACTCTCTCCCTAAAAAATCTCTTCCTGATATCCAACCTAACCCTCCCCTGGCAGAGCTTGAGTCTGTGTGGTGGAATCTCTCTGTTTCTTAGCTAAGGAATAAACAAACCCTTGCAGTTCCCACTGCTCCTGATGCACTGAACACTCTTTAAATTGAAGACAGTTGTGTCTCTTCGCTGTGAGTACAGATGTGAAACCAGCATTTCACAGCACTGCAGCACTCACTGCCCAACACCACTGGAGAGGTGGTTCAAAGTTCCTCCAGTGGCAAATGAAAGTGCTAAGTTACATGACTTTACTGTTGATGAGTTCCTGCTCACTGTCCAGTCTGTCTCAAGGAACACAAAATACAAGTTTGGTTGTTAATGTTTCCAGGCTTTTCCCTGCAAGTAGAAAAGCTGCAAACAAATTTTTATTCAAGATAAAAGCTGAAGTTCATTGCCAGTTTCTCCAGCCTGACAACTGAAGCTGTGAAGGAAACAATGCCACAAGAGTTGCAGTAAAACTGTAACTGCTGCTAACATAATTTTTTTGCACATTTATATTCTCCCTGATCCTGCACAAAACATGATCAGAAAGCATCAAACCACCTATCCCTGAGCTGTTTCTAGCAGCCAACTAGAGCCAGCAAGTTCCTCCACAAAGTTTCTCTGTCTTCCAAGGCATCTTTTAATGGCTCCATGAGGTGTGTATAAATATATATGTGTATTTATGGAGCTGCATTGCACTCTGGCAAAACCACTGGCAAAATTCCCGTGGACTTTCAAGGGAACAGGATCAGCCCTTTAATGTTTTAATAGTTTTCTGACTTCTTATTGGCTAATGGACAAGCTACTGTAAGCAGAGTTTGTGTGGAGTTTAGAGTGAGCTCTCTCTGCCTTTAATCAGAGCAGCCAAAACGGAGTTGGAGTTTAGAAAGCCTAAACACTTTAAGGCTTCCTCACTTAGCTGTAAGAAGATCTGTGGGACAGTGGTGCTCATAAAAGAGGAGATTTTTACTGGTTTTTTTTTTTTTTTCTACAGGACTGTGCTGTAATTGATCTACAGTTGAGTGAAGCAGCAGCAGATTGGGGACAAGTCACTTACAATGAGCATGGTGACACTTTTTGGTCTCTATTCCAGCATGGGACTCTGGTCCAGAATATCTCCCACCCCTGCCAGCTCTGTCATGATGCTGTTTCTCATGAAACAGGTAAGCTGACCTGGGAATTCAGAGTGGATAGTGTAAAAGTGGATTCCTACCACATTTTCACCTCCACAAACAGCAGGTTTGTTTCTGACACTGCAATCTCTGTGTATTACAAATCAGCCATGAGAAATGTGGCTGCAAATCTGCAGTTTTCTATTTGAACTCACTCTAAGCAATTTATTACAGTTTTCTTCTCTTCATCCTCACTCATACAGTGAATAAATTGGGTTAATAACCATTTGTACAGTTTCTTTTCAGACAGTTTTGCTCAGTATCGAATTGATTTCTTTTCTCAGTTTCCCTACCAGATCTCAATACTATTGTGAATGATGTTTATTTTCTACTGTTTTTCTCTGGTTTAAAACCAGCTTTGCTTTGTTTCTGGCACTGCCTTTTAGCCTCTGACTTACCTGAGGGGTGAGCACTGAATCTCCCACTTGTGAGATCTGCTCTTCACCTTCCTGAGGAAGGCTAGAAAAGCTGTGTGTGATTTCTACCTTTATTTCTTCTGGAGATCAACTAAATTATTCACTTCTTTTTTTCCTCCTAAATCTATAAAAAGAAATCTGAATGCTTATCACAGAGACATGGATGTAAGATCCAGAGGCAAGCTTGTCTTTTTGACTTTCTCTTGACTTCTTTTCATTTATTTAAAGGGATATAGAACACCAAGGTGTCTCACTTCCCTAATTTTCCCTTCCCTCTAAAGGTTAGTGGCTTAACCCTAGCCCTTGTGGCAGCATAGTGGTATCAGGCAGAATAATCTTTCTTGGGACTCAGATCCCAAGGGGGAATGGTCTGAAGCTGTCAGGGGAGGGTTAGGTTGGATTTTGGGGAAAGGTTCTTCCCCCAGAGGTGTTTGGGCACTGGAACAGGGTTAGGTTGGATATCAGGACAAGGTTCTTCCCCCAGAGGTGTTCGGGCACTGGAACAGGGTTAGGTTGGATATCAGGACAAGGTTCTTCCCCCAGAGGTGTTCGGGCACTGGAACAGGGTTAGGTTGGATATCAGGACAAGGTTCTTCCCCCAGAGGTGTTCGGGCACTGGAACAGGGTTAGGTTGGATATCAGGACAAGGTTCTTCCCCCAGAGGTGTTTGGGCACTGAACAGCTCCCCAGGGCAGTGTCACAGCCCCAAGGTGACAGAGCTCCAGGAGTGTTTGGCCAATGCTCTCAGGCACAGGGTGCAGTGTTGGGGTGTCTGGGCAGGACCAGGAGCTGGACTGATGATCCTTGTGGGTCCTTTCCAGCTCAGGACAGTCTATGAATCTCTGATTCTCACAGAGATTCTCAGACAGAGAAGTGTCAGTGAAGATAGCGAAGTGAACTCTGATGCAGTTAATGCCTAACAGGATGTGCTACTAGAGAAACACTGAAGTCTTCTGCCTGGAGAACCTGCATCAACCCCTTGTTTTAAAAGAAAGCTGATTTTCCTCCTTCTCAGGCACTGCCAGCATTCCTTTCTCTCTATATATGTCCTTTCCCCAGAGAGAGTGAACCACTGCTTGGCTCAGCTGGTTTGGTTGGCAGTGCCTGTGTAAGGAGCTGAAGATCAGTTGACAAGTTGTTGCCATTCAAGTCATCATGCTTTGCTGTTGTATATCTGTTTATCATTTCTTTGATGACATAAATCTAGAGCCTTTTAGATCACTTATGAGTCCTCCAACACTTTCCTTGCCACTTGCTCACTTATTGCCATCTCTTTTGAGGTATGTCCATCAGAGTTAGGCACATTATCCAGGCAGAATTGCACTAGGGACAAATATTACTCATTAATATTGTCCTGTTCTCATTTTCAACATCCTTCCCTGTGTGTACAGCTCCAGCAATGTCAGTAGCCTCCTGCAGTGCAGCATTTTCAACACGTGGCTCATGTCATTGCTTTTCTACAACCCCATACAGATTTTCAGAAAGTCCTGACATACATCCTCCAGCTGTGGCTTCAAGGAGCAAAGCATTGCATTGGGTTTGTCATGGTGCATTCTCTGCCAAAGGGTTAGTGTTTCTCTGTGACCTAAATGGCCTTTATTCACTCCCTGCCAAGGGCAGGGACACTTTCCACCAGCCCAGGTTGCTCCAAGCCCCATCCACCCTGGCCTGGAACACTCCCAGGGATGTAGTGTGGGTTCTGTAAGTATGTTCTGAGAAGACCCAACAAGTAGCCACAGCTGCTCTGGGAAACCTGTTCCATTTTGATTAGTAAAGTAAATTTTTTCTGTGTTCTTCTAACTACATTTACAATTAATTTTTTATGTCAGTTGACAGCTCTTAACTCTATTTTTTGGTCAGCTCCAGCTCTGATTTTATATAGACTTGATTTTTCTCCATCACAGAGTTTTCTGGTATAACCCCAAGCATCTCACGAGTGTTGACATGAAAGGTGACCAGGCATTGCCTATTGGACTGTGCCTTGAGCTTTGCAGAAATGAACAATTCCATAAGGAACTGATGTGGAACTCTCATTTATGCCTAAACTGCTCCTCACTCTACTTGAGTGAACTTCTTCATGACTATGTGGCAACCTCCTCTCCAGGCATGGAGCCAAACAAGCAGCCAGGTAGCCCCTGGGAGGATTTCTCTGCATTTCCTTGGCTGTTTAGTGCATTTGTTTAGTAGAAACTGAAGTGTCCCCCCCTTAAATCAAGCAGTCCTGTCTACAAATGCGTCATCTCCATGTCTTTGCCTCTTCAAATGAGGTTCACTGACCCATGAGTGTCTGAAGAATCTCCCCTGGCTCCCAGCATTTTGAGGCCTAGATGAGGGAAATGTCAAGATGCTTTTTATTTTGGAAACATGCATTCCTTTCTCATGGCTGCTGTAAATATTCTCTCCTTATCTTGCAAGCCCATCAGAGGAAGAATAATTATAGTCTTTCTACTGCCTGGAACTGAAAGTAGGGTGTCTGGAAATTAGCTGAGAGACTAAAAGCAGAGCATGGAGCAGGCACCAATTTACACAGTGAAAATAGGCATGAAGTAGTGATGCTAGGTAAGAACTAGCTCATAGGCTCCACTGTTCTTGTTTTGAAGGTAAATAAATGTGATTTTCTTTATTTTTTTAAAGCCCCATAGGTTCAAAGGAACAGATACAGGTGAAGTTCTGGTTAAGTGTCTCAGACCTTGGCATATCACCAAGCTCAGACAAGCTCAGGACAACCACAAAAGCAGCTTCAAAGAAGGGTCTAGTCCAGACAAAAGGAAATTGACTTTTCCTGAAGGCTGAAAAGCATCTTTTGGTAGAAGATTGGTTTAGAAATCTTAGATTTTGTTTGCTTTCCAAAATTTGGTCATTTCAATTGGTAATGTTTTCAACCAGTAGTGGATTTTTCATTTTTGGAGACTTATAGTGACAGTGTTCTCTGACTGCTGTCCTGCCCTTGGCCTCTCAAAGTCCTGGATTTAGGAGACCAGGGGACTAATTACACCAAAGTTACACTTAGGCTGGTGTTCTTTTCCCCAGATAAATAAGGATCAAGTCATGGTGCTAATACTGAACTGTAAGCAGCATCTAGCATTATCCTTTCTCTGTTCCTTGACTCCTAATTGGGTGTTTCTTCACCAGCCCAAATCACCAAGAAATTTTGCATTTCATTCTGCTATTTTTAGCCATTCCTTTCCTAAACAGCACTTATCAGCTGTGGCCCTCTCAAAGGCCTCTGCAGTCAGAGTGTTGTGTGGTAAAGATGTGTCAGAAAGAAGGATATATAGGGAGGGGAAGTTTTCCTGTTCTGGTGGTGAGACCCTGTCCCAGGGTGCCCAGGGAGTCTGTGGCTGCCCCAACCCTGGCAGTGTTCACAGCCAGGTTGGATAAGCCTTGAGCAACCTGCTCTGGTGGGAGGTGTCCCTGCCCAGGGCAGGGGTTGGGGCTGGATCATCTCTAACTCCATTCCAACCCCTTCACATACTATGATTCTCCAGTTCCTGAAGAAGGAAGAGTTCTGTCTTTAACTCTCTTCTTGCCTCCCATTCCTCCATTCTCCTCTTCTCTTACATTTCTTATAACATAAAGAAACTTGCCATTAAAGACCACAAGGTTCTAACTGCTTTTCCTCATATTCAGTATTTTCACTCCCAGGCCAAAGGATCTCTGCTGGAAAAAACCACGACTGGATGGAACAAATATAAACAGGAATGCTTGAAAATGCTGCAGGAATCAACTGTAGATACTGGTAAGGAATTCAACTGCACAATAAGCCACGCTGATGAATATGCAAATATTCCTTTACTTGCTGTGCAGAACTTCTGTCTGTTCCTAAGTACTAAATGTAGAACCATCAGTTGTAACAATTGTGCAAACATTAAAGGGTTCAAATTGAAGGAGAGGAAGTTTAGGTTAGATCTTAGGCAGAAGTTTTCCCTGTGAGGGTGGTGAGACACTGTCCCAGGTTGCCCAGGGAGGCTGTGGCTGCCCCAACCCTGGCAGTGTTCACAGCCAGGTTGGATGAGCCTTGAGCAACCTGCTCTGGTGGGAGGTGTCCCTGCCCAGGGCAGGGGTTGGCAATGGATCATCTCTAAGCTCCATTCCAACCCCTAAAATTCTATGATTCTATGAACAGGCAATCATAGCTCTCTTTGTCCTGAAACATATCAGGTTCCTCTATGTCACCAGATCATGTAAAGAAAGGAATCACTGAACAGCTGGTGCTTTTTGCTACCTCTGTGGTGCAGCACTGAGTGCTCAGTCCACAGGTATTTACTAGCCATTAGTGGGAAGAACCTGGTAGGACCAGTTTTCACTTCCCTTTTCATCCTGCTAACCACAGGAGAACAGCTCACCTAAGGAAAAGATGTTTCCCATTTCTATAGTGAGCCATGACAGACAAGGACCCAAAACACTTTGAGCAAAACAGAGCTTGGTTTCTGCCTGGGCTAGGCAGCTGGGGAGCAGTTCTAGTGCCCAAACACCTCTAGAGGAAGAACCTTGTCCTGATACCCAACCTAACCCTCCCCTGACACAGCTCCAGCTGTTCCCTGGGTGCTGTCACTGTCCCAGAGAGCAGAGATGGTACCAACCATTCACTGCCCCTCAGAAGGAGCTGCAGCCCCTGATGAGCTCTGCCCTCAGTCTCTTCATGATTTTGTGCCCTTTTTTGCTTCCTTATCTCACAGTGAGGTGTGTAAATACTGTGTGGATCCAGGGCAGCAGTTGTTTCTGCACCAGCATGGCACAGTGAACACACAACATTTTCCTGCTACATCTTGTCACTCTGGAGCAGCTTCCAGGTTACCTGGAGCAGCACCCAATGGTTTTCATGATTGTCCACTGTCTGGAGAACTTCTTGTAAAACTTCTGTTTGCTTCTCTCCCCAGGAACACATTGCAATGGGACATTTGATCAGTTTGTTTGTTGGCCTTACTCACCCCCTGGAAATGTCTCTGTTCCTTGTCCTTCCTATTTGCCGTGGTTGGAAAATGGTAATGTGAAAGTGGTAACTTCTCTTGGAGTTTGTGCCAGCAATCCAGCTGAAGGACAGGTGGTGCTTGCCTACCTTGCCTCAGTGTCCTCTGCAGTGTCTGAGTGTTCTCTTGTCTTCTTTCTACTTCCAAACTAAGGCACAAAATCCTTGTGGATGTTTAGCTGCTCTTTTTCTCCATCTGTGCTTGCCACAGCTCCTTATTGTCTGCTCTACAGCAATGTTGGCAAGGGCCTGGGCTTTACTGGGAGGAACAGATTTAAGGTTCAGCTTTGGAGGCTCAACCTCTGAGGTCCCCACTGAGCCCAGACATGAAGTTCTGCCCCAGAAAACTGGCAGAGCCAAATGAGGCAGCAGTCCAAGCACTCAGCCCTCCAGTAGGACACAGCACACCACCAGCAAAAGGGGGTGCTGAACAAACAAACCTTCCAGGCAGCCTTTCCTTGGGGTGAGTGGAGCAGGAAGGGAAAAACAGAAACATCTTCAGCAGCAAAGCTGTTGAAGAGCAAACAGCATTCCCTTTCTCCTAAAGAAATGGAGTGGCATCCCTAACCAGCACTGACCAGCATGTCTGGATCCTGCTACACATCCCTTCTGAGCTGCATTTCTAGTGCCACTTGGAGGGACCAATTCTGCCTGAGTTCTTTAATTTATGGGAGACTACAATGTGCTGCTTCTCCTAGCTTTGTCCAGCCCTCACCACACATGACTTGTTCTTCAAGATCATTTGTCCTTTTCCATGCTGATAAGCAGAGACCCAACTTCTATCTAGTCTCCCAAACAACTGTTTCTGCTAGCCTTAGAACAGATCCTGCTCTTCGTGATAAACATAAAACCATCTTCCTTCCCTCCATGTAATGGAGACTTCAAAAAAAAAAAGGGGGGGGGGGAAGCTCTTTTTTCTGCCCAAATTTCTACAAAACCAAGAAGCAAGGCATGGCACCAGGTTGTGAAGCTTCTGATCCTGTTCACAGTGGGGATGCTGTGACAGCATCATGTGGCATTCTCATCTGTGCCACAGCACCTGAGGAGAAGCAGCATTGGAGACAGCCCAGCTGTCTGTTTGTCCTAGAAATTTGCAGCACTGGCATTAGGTTTGTTTGTGATCCCTGTTCCCATTGCTGGTCCCTTTTCCAAGGCATAGCTCTGTCTGTTCTGGGACATCAATAGGCTTGAACCAGATATGCTTGGAAGCCTAAGGCAAATTTATTGTGGTTTGTCACCATTGCCAAGTGTGAAGCACTGAAAAACTGAGGTGGTCGAGAAATGAGATTTCTGATCACATTTTATAGATGGATTGAGATTTTTTTTTTCAGTATCTAGTAGCCACACAGAGCTCCTGCTCCATCCCAACAAACTGTGCTCTCAAGGCAGTTCTCTAAGCTCCTGAGCAAAACAAGATGCTCTGGTTGGTGCTGCCAACCTTAAACACCTTCAGTACAACAGTGATTGAAAGAGCTCAGGTGTGATTAGAAATGAATGGCAGCTGTGGAGGACAACATCAAATCAACATCAATCAGGGTCTCCATATCCCCCCATGGATGCTATGGGCAAAGAGCTGATTGCTATAACATGGGACAATGAAAGCCAAGGAAGCTTCAGTTTAATCCACCTGCTGAAACACCAACCTGCAACACCAAGAGTTACAGAGAAAGGTCATTCCCTAAGCAAATCCTCTTACAGATTTGACTGCACAACCTGGGCAACGAGCTGCCCTTCATGGAATTTAGGAGCTTCAGGAAGGAAAAGGGCTAAAGAGAGATGTAGCCTTTTCTTTTGGCTGTAGGAACTCTGTGAGGGTTTTTTTATAAAAACCAGGTATGTTCTGGGAATTTATCTCTGCTCCATTACAGTCCTACCTTGTCCTGTGTAAATAGGAGAAATACATCACCAAAGACAGGAGAAAAGTGAGGTTTATGCCTTTTTAGAGTGGGGATGTTGTGGTGCCTGGTGCTGTGCTGTAAGGCACTGATGTCTCTGTAAGGGGCTGAGTCTCTTTCAAACGTGTATGAAAAATTAAATCTTTATTTTGACCTTTCAGACTAAACCTCTGTTTACTTTCAGGAAGTGTAGGCCATGTATACAGAGTCTGCTTGGCTGAAGGGATTTGGCAAACAAAGGAAAATTCCACAGACATTTGGCGGGATAGCTCCGAATGTTCTGAGAAAAATCATTTCCAGAAAAATGTAAGTATGTTTTGTATTATGGTTGGACACTTTAATCTGCTTAATCCCTTCTTAAGCAACTGATAAAACATTTGCACTGAATACCTGCGAAGGATGTTCTGATTTCATTCCGATTTCGTTCCGATTACCCAGCACAAAGCTGGTGTTTCATTTAGAAGGAGCAGAATATTGAGGAGGGGGATCTATTCTTTAGAAGCTGCAAATTATGCCCTGTTCAGACTCCAGTGGTCACATGTGCTGGTTTTCTCTTCATAAAATAGAGAAAAACTGCAACTTGCCAAGCAAATAACTTCAATTCGGAGCATTACAGCATCTCCCCAGGTCATAGAATCATAGAATCAGCCAGGTTGGAAAAGACCTCAAAGATCATCAAGTCCAACCCTACCATGGTCACTAGCCCATGGCACTAAGTGCCACATCCAGTCTCAGCTTGAAAACCTCCAGGGATGGTGAATCCACCACCTCCCTGGGCAGCACATTCCAATGCCTGAGCACTCTCTCTGTAAAAAATCTCTTCCTAATATCCAACCTAAGCCTCCCCTGGCAGAGCTTGAGTCTGTGCCCTCTTGGCCTGCTGCTGGTTGCCTGGGAGAAGAGACCAACCCCCACCTGACTCCAACCTCCTGTCAGGGAGTTGCAGAGGGTGAGAAGGTCTCCCCTGAGCCTCCTCTTCTCCAACTTCCCTCTGAGCCTTACAGCATTTAATGAGCCTTTCAGCAATTAATGAGTCGTTAACTGGTCATTTCAAACTTAGCTGGGCAGAGCCTGAAGGATTCCCCTAAAGCTATTCCCATCCTTCCCACCATTCCCACATTGCTCACCCCAAGGACTAGACTTTGGCAGCAGGGGGGAAGCTTCTTTTTCCACGGATTTCAGCTTAGCTGATGCCAAAATTAGCTCTCTCAGGTAAGCACCAACACCATTATTTTTCACATTTCAATACTTACGCTCACCCAATAATTACTTTAGTTTGTAACTTTACTGATTACTTATGAAACACTATTAGTTCAGTGTCTCCATGGCCTGCTAAGTTTTTACTAAGCTCTTTATATAGTGAGTCCATGAATTTCTAAACTCTCAGTTTATTTATGCAAGTGTGATAAATGTTCTGAAGCCCTGAGAGTTTTCCATGGTTTGTTGACCATTCTGGATTGCAAATTTGTGGCTGGGACACACATTATTTCATCTTATGTGACAGCAGACAACTTCTTTGAAAGCCTTAACCAGTTTTTCTACCAACACTAAATGTGGTTTTGTACCTGTTGTTGTATTTTATGGACAGCTCCAAGAGGTTAGAAGTAACCCAGAGGTAATAATTGCACTTATTGGAAGGATCAGCTTGGTTTCGTTTGCTTTGGGGTTGCAAAATGGATATAGCCAAGGTGAAATCTCAGGGTTTTTGCAAGGTTTATGGCTGTTTGAATGTTACCATGGAGCAGAATGACTAATGGCTGAGCTGTGGGAATCTCCTGCACCCATGCTGGGCACTCTCAGCCTCTCCAAGAGAGGCACAGCTCACTAGCATCCAATTATTAGAGGCAATCTTGGCAGGAAGACAGTGCTAAAATCCCTCGTGCTGAGTAGCAAAGCAAGGAAAATGGCAAACTCAGTGAGGAAAAGACACAGGTTCCAGGAAAATCTCTGCAGGCCAAATATGGGTTATGGAAGTCACATATCCTGTGTCTCACATTCCCTTTGCAGAGAAGCTTTCCTTGAGCTAGGAAAGGAGTGTGAATGGGTGAGAGGTGGACATAAGCAGCTAAAATGGAAAAAACTTAGCAAAAAGAGATGTTAAATGAAAGAAACTGCAAGGAAATTTGTGCAGGGGCAGGAGTTGGACTTCAGTGATCCTTGTGGGTCCCTTTCAGCTCAGGATATTCTGTGATACTCTTTGAAAGTGGGAGTGCCTCCCTTCCTCCTCTGAGGTCTTATTTGCCATTTGAAGCCATTCCTGGCAGTTCTGACTTAATAATGATGATTTTTATTAGTTTGAACTCGAGACAGAAAGTCTATTTCAATACCTCTAGACAAACACAACTCTCAAAACTGTACAGACAGAACTGATCCGTGTCTCCAGGCCACAGTGCAGTTTTGTGTGTGCAGGTTGAGTGAGTTGACCTCTGCAGCTTTTCAAACCCACCAGGATCCATTTAGGGCATGGAAACATGGCAATGATTAGCTGGAGATCAGACTACAAGTGGGGTTTGTGCAGGAAAAATCTGACAAAGGATCTGTGAGAGTCATTGGGTTGAAAAAGAAACTGATGCTGGCTGCAAGTGGCTCTGCCAGACACTGATGCCACAGGGCAGCGCAGGGAGCAGGTGTCAGAGTGTCAGAGCCCTCTCCTGGCTCCTTGGGGGTGTTAGAACCCTCCCCTGGCTCCTTGGGGATGTCAGAACCCTCCCCTGGCTCCTTGGGGATGTTATAACCCTCCCCTGGCTCTTTGCAGGTGTCAGAACCCTCCCCTGGCTCCTTGGGGGTGTCAGAGCTCTCCCCTGGCTCCTTGCAGGTGTCAGAGCCCTCTCCTGGCTCCTTGGGGGTGTTGGAACCCTCTCCTGGCTCCTTGGGGATGTTATAACCCTCCCCTGGCTCCTTGCAGGTGTCAGAGCCCTCTCCTGGCTCCTTGGGGGTGTTGGAACCCTCTCCTGGCTCCTTGGGGATGTTATAACCCTCCCCTGGCTCCTTGCAGGTGTCAGAGCCCTCTCCTGGCTCCTTGGGGGTGTTGGAACCCTCTCCTGGCTCCTTGGGGATGTTATAACCCTCCCCTGGCTCCTTGCAGGTGTCAGAACCCTCTCCTGGCTCTTTGCAGCTCAGAGAAGGTGAACTGGAAATGTCTGAGCTGTGTGTGCTCTGCCCATCCACCTGCATAACCAATTTTTCTTCTTTGTTCCTAGGAAGAAGAACATAAGCTACTCACCACATTACAGCTGCTGTACACGATAGGATATTACTTTTCCCTCATCTCACTTGTATTAGCTCTGCTTATACTTTCCTTACTCAGGTTGGTACATATTGACATGCATTTTTTAAAAGCACTGTCACCTGTATGCATATTATTTTCCTGTCATTGAAGCAATTTCTTAGGTTCCAATGTCCCAATACCTAAAGGGGCTACAAAAATACCTGGAGAGGAACTTTGGACAAGGGCATGGAGTGGCAGGACAAGGGGGAATGACTTTAAGCTGGAAAAGGTAGATTTAGACTAGATACTAGGTGGAAATTCTTTACTGTGAGGCACTGGCACAGGTTATATTTTCCTAATAAGCATGATGAAAATAATTCCTAAGCAAAATCCATTGATGGATAGAACAGTTGTTTTGCTAGGGTTTTCTAGTTGATTTTAGAGCTTTTATTTGTGCAAATTAAATATACTCCAAAGGATTCGTCCATTATTTTTTCCTCCCACAGAAAACTTCATTGCACAAGAAACTACATCCACATGAATTTGTTTGCCTCGTTTATCCTACGAGCCACAGCAGTTCTCATAAAGGACACTGTGTACTACAATATCTACTCCAAAAGACCAAAGGATGAAACTGGGTGGATATTATACCTCAGTCCAGAGGTAATGTGGTAGTTCATAGCTAATAGTAAGTATTTGCTGCTAGTGGTCAGAACAGTTTGGGAAGTTTGTTCTGAGGTGGTTGTTAGTTGAGCTTTGAATACTGAAATTTTGCTGATAAAACTTGTGGTAATCAAGAAGAAAATGCTGATTTGTCAAGTTGTAATAGATTGATTTTATATGGAGGCTTGTACAAACAGGCTGAGAGAGTTGGGGCAGCTCAGCCTGGAGAAGAGAAGGCTGTGTGGAGACCTCAGAGCAACTTTTCAATATCTGAAGGGGCTACAGGAGCCAGAGAGGGACTCTGTGTTAGGAACTGCAGGGACAGGACAAGGAGAAATGGGGAGAAATGGAAAGAGGCAATTGAGATGAGATCTTAGGCAGAAGTTTTCCCTGTGAGGGTGGTGAGACACTGTCCCAGGTTGCCCAGGGAGGCTGTGGCTGCCCCAACCCTGGCAGTGTTCACAGCCAGGTTGGATGAGCCTTGAGCAGCCTGCTCTGGTGGGAGGTGTCCCTGCCCAGGGCAGGGGTGAGATGAAATGAAGTTTAAGATCCTTTCCCACCCAAACTCCTCTGTGATTCTGTGATTAAATGTGAAATATCACTAAGAAGAAAAAAAAAAACAGTATAAAGGCTTTTCTCTATTAGGAAAATGTACTAATTTTCTTCTGTTTGTTTAGAAAATGGAATAACATCTCTCATTGTCACCACTGTGAATAAATTATATGATGTAGGAATAAAATTTGGCTGTGTCAACAGGCAAAGTTACCTGCAGGAGGTTAATGCTGACCACTATTTGAATAGCTCCCAAGTATAAATCATGATGAGCAGACCATGACATCCACATTCACCACGATTCCTGCTCTCTCATTCCCACAGATCGTGATCATCTGTAGGACTGCCCAGTTTTTCATGCATTACTTTGTTGGGGCAAATTACTTTTGGCTGTTAGTGGAAGGAATTTACCTGCACACCTTGTTGATAACTGTGGTGCTCTCTGAGAGACGACTGCTCCAAAAATACATTGTCATAGGATGGGGTAAGTCCACACCTGCTTCCAAGTACTTGGTTATGTGCTGCTTTGTGGAGTCAGAGGAGGATATTTGGTATGGAGAAAGAGAAGAAAATACTGAACTCTGGTTTATTTGTTAGTTTTGAAGCCAGAAATTGGACATGAAGCTATAGCAGCAGGGGTTCAGTTTGACCTGCAGGTGTAGGAAACAGGGAAGCTGTTTCATAGGAGAACAGGAGCCTGGTGGGCACAACAAGAAGGAATTTGACTATACTTGACTGGATATTCTGTCATCACTGAATACTATTGTACTACCAGCAACTTCATTTCCTTCCCTTGCAATAGATGTCAGGACATTAGCAAGGGACCTGGGAGTTTGGAGAGACAGAAAGCTGAACATGAGCCAGCAGAGTGCTCAGGTGGCCAAGAAGGCCAATGGCATCCTGGGCTGGAGCAGGGACAGTGTGGTCAGCAGGACCAGGAGGTGATTCTGCCCCTGGACTCAGCACTGGTGAGGCCACACCTTGAATCCTGTGCTCAGTTCTGGGCCCCTCAGCTCAGGGGGGAACAAAACAAGTAATTTTACTGCTCTGACCTTTGCTTTGCCCCTTATATTTGGAAATTGATGGCACCTAAAACATAACCTACTGGAGAAATCCCTAGAAGTAAAGGAATCTGAGATAAGGCTATTTTTGTGCTCTTCTAATCTGACTGTATTCTTTTATTAGTAAAGAGCCATTGTACAAAAAGGTCAATGCTTAAGGCAAAAGCCAAAACAGAACTTCAGCATCCAAAGTACCACACAGAGGAAAACCTGAGCCAAACAGTTTCAAGAGCCTGATATAAATCCCTGTTGGAGTACACAAGATAGTTTTGCTCTAAATTAACTCTCTGGCCTGACAGAGTAATGATCCCTTAAAGAACCCAGAAGCCTTAAGGTCTCTTTTGTAGAACTGGCTTGTGTTTACCACTGCTGATCAGATTAAAAGGAACCTGATCTATGTCTCCTGGAGTGTTCTGTAGCAGGTTTTGAACACACATGAGATAGCATTGTACATATTGTTCTGAAGATGTCAGTACAACTGATTGCCTTTGTGCATTACCTGATCCTGTCACTGGAGAGCAAGACCAAAGTACTCAGACCCAATAATTTTGGCAGTGCCATGTTTAATGTGGAGCATTACCTCAACTAGTTACAAGTGAACATGAAACTCATAGTAGACATTGTGTCCTTTTGTTAGCTGTAAGAACACCTATGCTCTTTTCTTCTTGTTTTCCAGTTTTAAATCCCAAATAAGGTTTTATTTAGCTGCCTGTAACAGTAGAAGAACCCTAACAGACTGTGCAACACCTCACACCTCTTAGTTCTTTAAAGACCAGGTAAAAACTAGCTTCTCTCCAGAAGGGAAGAAATTCAGGTTGGTTTAGTGAGAGCTGTGAGAAGTGAAGGAGTTTGAGGTCCTGGTGGCAAATGCAGAGCTCTCACTACTGCCATGTCAGGCCATGAATACAGAGCAAGTGCTGTAACCTTGGGGAAGTTTTGTTTCTCCTGTTTAAACCAAAAAATCTATTGATTAAATCAAAGTGATTTCATTGTATAGCATAACCTGACCAGAAAGGAGCTCCAGGAAACAATCCTTGCTTTTCACTGAGGAAGGAGGTACAGTGGGCAAAGGCAAGTTTTAGCAGTGAATTTTTGTCCCCATTTGAAGCAGAAGGATTGAGCTTCAAGTTAAAGTGAACTTAATCAAGTTAACATAGTAAACACTTTGATGGAAATCAGTATGTAATACCCAGGAAAGCCTAACCAAACTAGTCATACATCCCTTGGAGCACAGTTCCTCAAAGTTAATACCTGGAGTTCTTCCAGGTTCCAAGACAGATGTGAAATTCTGCATATGAAATCCTTTTAAGGTTCACCTGGTGCCTAAGTTAGTCTGTGAGGCTTCATGCACTGATTATTTTGCATTCCCAGGGTCAGGAATCACAGGTCAGCAGTGTATTTCTCTGTGTGTGTATGTCTAGATCAGTCTGAAAATGCAAGATTCCACTGCACAATGGAATGTCATTTTATATTTGATCTACAAATGGGGAAAGTCAGGATCAGGTTGATTTTTATAGAGTTCTAAATAGCTGACTGGAAATCACATATCTTTGCACCACACAATTCTGCAAGTGGCTGTAACGACTCCTTTGCTTTGCAGTTGTTCCCATCCTGTTTGTGGGCCCTTGGGGAATAAGCAGATCCAAGCTGGAGAACACAGGGTAGGTTGCTAAATAAAATGTGCCTTAGAATACTGTGTTTCTGTTTGCTTAACTTTTCTGAAAGCCTTTGGCAGAACTTGGCTGTAGATTGAGATTGGATGAGAAGATCCCCATGAGCTGCAGTGTGAGCTCAGCCCAGAAACCAATGGATCCTGGGCTGAGCCACAGGAGTGTGGGCAGCAGGGCAAAGAGGTGATTCTTCCCCTCTGCTCTGCTCTGGTGAGACCCACCTGGAATACTGCACACAGTTCTGGTGTCCTCAACATCAGAAGGACATGGAACTGTTGGAGCAAGTCCAGAGGAGGCCACAGAGTTGCTAAGAGCACTGGAGCATCTCCCTGTGAGGACAGGCTGAGGGAGTTGGGGCTGTTGAGCCTGGAGAAGAGAAGGTTGTGTGGAGACCTCAGAGCAACTTTTCAGTATCTGAAGGGGCTACAAGGAGCCAGAGAGGGACTCTGGGTTAGGAACTGCAGTGACAGGACAAGGGGTAACAGGTTCAAACTGAAGGAGGGAAAGTCTAGGCTGGATGTGAGGAAAAAGCTTTTTACTCGAAGGGTGGTGAGACACTGTCCCAGGGTGCCCAGGGAGGCTGTGGCTGCCCCAACCCTGGCAGTGTTCACAGCCAGGTTGGGAGAGCCTTGAGCAACCTGCTCTGGTGGGAGGTGTCCCTGCCCAGGGCAGGGGTTGGGGCTGGATCATCTCTAAGCTCCATTGTTTCCAGAGAATTTTATTTGGAACACCAATAGAGATAAGAAGCAACAACATCAGCAACCAACTAATAATGACATAGTTGTTATATAAATCAGCAATGACAAGCCAAGATCCTACAGAGCTTCAGGAGAATTAGGAAGAGGAAACATGTGCAGAGGACATAGTAAGGTTAGAGCAGGAGCAAAGGAGACAACTCCAAGGAGTCAGCACATATATTTTTCAGCAGGTCAAAAAACATGATCACGATTCCTAGTTTACCCATTTTCACTTGCAGATAGACAAAGGGAAGGAGGATGAATTCCATGATGGTTTGGTGTCCTGTACAGTTGTATGTTGATTCAAAGACTGAGTTTGCCATATGGCTGTGAAGTTTGTGGTCTAGGGAAACCTCTCTCAGCATTTATGTGGAGAAATCTTCAGAATAAATACAGTTAGAGTTGTTGGTGAGACTCTTCCCAGCTATATTTCATTTCTCAGGGCCACCTGAGAAAGTTGAACTTTGTCCTTTTGAAATATACACAAAGGCTATATAAATTTCTATTTTTTTTTGCCATGAAAATAAAGTAATTAAACTTTAAATTATTCTCCAGGTGCTGGGGAACAAATGAACACATGGGAATCTGGTGGATCATCCGAGGACCAATGTTGTTTTCCATTGCAGTAAGAATTAAATTATTTGTATTTTTCCCCCTTCTTGGTCTTTGTAATTAGTGCCATTTTTGTCCTTCAATATTTTGGAACAAATAAGTTACAGTTTTGTTCTACAGAAATATCAAAGTGGACATGAAGTGACAGAAGGGATAAACTTTTGCTCAGAAATGTTATTTTTTATGGGAAGCTCAGATATCATAAATGATATGTAAATCAGGCAATGCTAAGTCCCTCAGTTTTGCAACTTCAATGACTTTTTTTTTTTTTGCATAGGCTTTTGGTTTATGGAAGAGAAGCAGTTCCTGACTCATAGGCACTTGCTGGTCTCATTAGAAAGAAATATTTGCAGATTGGTCTGGGCTAAATCAGCACAATTTAATTAACAATAGAGTGAATCAGCAGTAAAAAGAATGCTCAGGGTAAAATGAACCCCATGCAGCTCCAG